TCTCAAAGCTCAATTGAAGTATCAGAGAATAAGGGCTTACTGACCTGTATCATTATCCATTTTTGTGCACATGTCAACCCTATAGCAAACATTTATTAAGTATCTACTATGTAATCTAGTTTGTAACTAGATTATAAACTTTGAGGGCAGAGGCTGCATCAGGTTAGTGTCTGTAAACCCTACAGAACTATAGAAATCGAATAGAAGGGTTCTGGAACTTACTGATGAATGGGAAATTTAGAAAGGACTTGTGCTTTGCTGAGCTCATTAGGGCTGTAGCTTGAAAAGGTACTAGCTGTTGCTTGACTCTACACAGCCTATGTGCAAATGTTCGCATATACTGTAAGGTATTGAGAGGCCCTAAGAGTAACAATCGTTCCCCGTGTGTAAAAGGCATTTCTGTGGTGGGATAAACACAGATGGGAGTCCATATAGTAGGAAAGGAAGAGCTGGAGAGAATAGGAACCCAGGCACATGCCTCTCTTCTCATTGCCTCTTTTGTCCTTGGGCTTGCTAAGTAATAATAAGTCTAGGGGGAATTTATGGCCTCAAATAGAAGGTTATAAATCATCCTCCTTGGTTTTTCTTTTTTTCTCCCCATTTTATAACCTTGGACTACTTCTGAAAGCCAAAGCCAGCCTTGTGGGGTTGATAAGTCAATCAGGGCAAGCCTATTATTGGAATGCAGAGACCCAACCCAGGCCGGATTCCATACATGCTCCACTATAAGTATTCCACACTTCTCCCATTTCTAGTGCTCCCCAAACAATCCTATAAACAAGGCTAGCAAGTTAATAATTTTATGTATCAGGGAGAATGAATCAACACAGAAAGGGAGAAATGAAGGGAAGACTCAATAGAGAGGACTACTGATCAGAACAAGCAATGGAGATACGGTAGCCAGTTGACTTTCTGACATCAGACGGCTGGAAAGGCTCCTTGCTTAGACGTTGAAGGAGGCTGGGACAATTTCTCAGTATGTTCCCGCTTTTCTTGGAGCCATGGGGAAAGGAAGTGACTTTGAGGTAGTCATTTTACCCAAACTAGATTCAGTCCACAGAATAAGGACCGTGCCTCCCCACCTCAATCAGCAGTTCTAGTTTTCACTGATGTAAGGGCTGGTGAGGAAACAAAGGTAGGGCTACTGATGTTACTGTTGTTCCCCAAGTCAGTCTCGGTCTCAGTCTCAGTCTCTGTCTCTCTCTCTCTCTCTTCTCAAATTATGGACTTCTTCCTCATCTAATACCCCTTTCTTTAAGAATTCTTCATGAACCAATCTCAATCACGTACATACACAGTCTCCTAGAATTCCTCTCCAAAACATCCACTGCTATATATACACAACAATTTTGTTATATGACCAGATACAATTAAGGCAGTTCTCATGATTTACTATCGTTTGAACTTTTTGTAATACCTTTTTTTCATCCTAGAGTCCATAAAGCCATATGTTACTGACATAATCTAACATCACAAACACAACCTTGAATTTTTCCCTTTCTGCTAAATCAGAAATCCTTAACCTCTTTTATATCATGGACTCCTTTGACAGTCTGGAAATTCTTAGGACCCTTCTCAGAATAATAATTTTGAACGCATAAAATAAAAAAAAAATCAGGATCACTAAGGAAACCACTTTTTCCACTGCAATAGGCTGCCCAGTTCCCAAAAAATGATATTAAAATGGCATGAGCTCAAGGCCTTTCACCATCCCAGTCACCCTGTTCTGGATGTTCTCCAACTTACCAACGTACTTCCCGAAATGTGGTACCCAACACAATAGATGTGGTCTCATCAGAGCAGAATACAGACAATGATGCTTGAGGATTAGACAAAGGTAATTCTATGGTTGAATTTTTCATGTGGTTTTGAATGACTTTAACATTTTAATGGATGATGCCTTGCTGGAATGGACCTTTAAAATTAAGCCTCCATATTAAAGGCAATGCAATTTTAAAGATGCTCAGGAATTAGTTTGCAAAATATCACAGAGATGAAGAAAGGGAGATGGTAACGGGAGGGAGAAGGGGAGGGGGGAAAAGAGATTACTAGCTACTGACATATAGGACTTTCTCATTTCTATTTTAAAAGAACATGTTTTCAGGGGCAGCTAGGTGGCACAGTGGATAAGAGCACTGACCCTGGAGTCAGGAGGACCTGAGTTCAAATCCAGTCTCAGACACATAACACTCACTAGCTCTGTGACACTCTGGGCAAGTCACTTAACCCCAATTGCCACATTAAAAAAAAAAGGCTATTTGGGGGCAGCTAGGTGGCACAGTGGATACAGCACTGGCCCTGAAGTCAGGAAGACCTAAGTTCAAATCCAGCCCCAGACCAAACACTTGACGCTTAATAGCTGTGTGACCCTGGGCAAGTCACTTAACCCCAATTGCCAAAAAAAAAATTTTAAAAAAACACGTTTTCTGAAAATCTCTCTGAAATTTGTTTTTTATAGGCATTGAGGGCACCCATGATTTTAAAAAAACAATGAGAAAGGAAGAAGCAGGTGTCATGAGTAATTTTTTACAGCAGAATGCATAGGATCAAAATTCTAGAGTATGAAGGGACATTAAGGGTCATATAATCCAACCTCTTCACTTTATAGATGAGCAAACTGAAACCCAGACATATGGAGTGACTTACCCAAGGTCATCAAAGTAATAAGGGACAGAGTGAGGATGGGAAATCAAATCCCATAATTCCAAGTATAGTACTCCAACCTCCCTTTTTTCCACTTCATCAGTCACATAACTAAGAAGTGTAACTAAGAAAATACAAAATCCCACTGTCTATTGATTGTTGGTTACATGTATAGCCTATATCAGATTGCATGTCATCTTGCGGAGGGGGGAGGGGAAGGAGGCAGAGAACATTTAGAACTCAAAATCTTATAGAAGTGAGTGTTGACAACTAAAAACAAATAAATAAAAGGGTTTTTTAAATAATAAAAAAATTAAAATTTTTAAAAAAGATTGTTGGTTACATGAAAGTATTTGATTTGGTAAAGCAATACACTCTTCTTTTTATTATTTTGTAAAACCTTAGTGTGAACATCATTGTTCTGACCATCCTTTTTACACTCTGCATCACCTCATATTTTTTTCATATTTGTTTATATTCTTCATTATTTGTCATTTCTTATGACACAATAATATTCCATGGCGTTGTTCTGATACTCGCTATTTAGCCGTCAACCAGTTAGACATATGAATTACCCATGTTTTTCAAGAACTAATAAAGCTGTTGATAGTTTTGCTTACATGGGTCTTTTCTTCATTTTAACAGGAGAGCCAGGTGCGGTGGTATATACCTGCAATCCCTATTACAGGTAAGGCTTGAAGCTAATTGCTTGAGCTCAGGAGTTCTCAGTTTCAGTAGGGTAAAAGCCAATTGGACATCTGCACTAAACCAGCACCAAGAGAATGAACCACTAGGAACTGAGAGTCACTAGCCTGCTAACTAGCCTCCACCAGAAAAATGGGACAAATCAAAACTTCTGTGCTAATCAATATTGGGATCAGGCCCATAACTAGACACTGTACTTCTAGCCTGAACACAATGGGAAGATCCAGTCTCAGATTTAATAAGATATGATCCTATTAGTAGGATCAATGGATTAAAGGGAACGGACAGTCATTTTTGAAATGCTTAATGTACACTCAATTCAATGAAACATTTATTAAGAACCTACTATGTGCAAAGCACTGTTAGATGCTAGGAATACAAAGCAAAGAGAGAAAAAGGAAAGAGAAGCATCAATACTACTGGGAGAATAAAATGTAATGCAAAATATATATGAAATAAAGACCACCAACAAGGGTCGTGCTAAGCTATACTTGGAAGGAATCTAAGAATTCTAAGAGGCTACATGTATAATGGATATTTATATGCATAATGTATTTCAAATATTATACATATACCATATATAACCATATTGTTTTCTAAAGACATTACAATGGCTACACTAGCTGTATAGCAAGCCCGTTTTTCCACAGCCCTGCCAACATTGAATTTTATAGTTTTTAACATCATTGCCAATTTAGTAACTATAAAATGATATCTCAGAGTTCTTTTAACTTGCATTTCTTTCCTTATTAGAAGATTTAGACAGTTTTTCCATGTGGATATTAATTTCTGTTTCTTCTTTTGCACAATGCCTGGGCATTTCTTTGACCATTTATCAACTGAAGAATTCACCTGTGTCATAAATTTCTCAATTCCTTACACACTTGAGGGGTGTCAGATTTTTATCAGGCACATTTAAGCTACTTAAGTAACAAAAGCCAAAATAACTTAGAATCTAGAATCTCAGAACTGGGAATAACATCAATGATCTAGTCCAACCTTGATGTAAAGTGTAAATCACCTCTTTAAAGCAACCTCCAGCCTCTACTTGAATAATACTGCAACAGAGAAGTCACTACCTACCAAGGGCAGCCCATTCCATTTTTGAAAAGTTCTAATCAGTCAGTCAACATTTACTAAGTGCCTAATCATTTGGAAGTTCTTGCCTATATCAGACTGAAATCTGCCTTCCAGCCAAAGGCATTCATTCACCCTAGTGATGACTTCTAAAGTCAAGCAGAACCATAGAAATAGTGTTGGAAGGAACTTCAAGAGAACATCTAGTCCAGTTCTCTTCGTTTTACAGATAGGGAAAACTAAGCTCAGCCTACGAGCACTCAGATAAACAGCAGACCTAGGATCTGAATCCTCTGACTCCACTGACAATGCTCTTTCCACTATATCATAAATAATTATCTTTATTGCTTGCTGAGGTAGCCTGAAAAGGATGATTATAGACATTGAAAAGGTTGGTGAACTGGAAGGTAAGTGCATTTGAGGACACATTAATATAAATACTTAAGTTACCTAGTAGAAGGGCAGGAGTAGGGTTGGAGAAGAAAAATGTAATTTCTGGACATTTTATTGTCCCCAGAGAATCAATTTCTTCTAATTAAAAAACTACCCTCATGCAAATGAAGAGCTGTGTTTACCTTGAAACAAAAATGCTTTGCTGGTATTGTGCAGTCCTGACACCTGAGTAACTCCAACAGTCGTATTCACAAGATCAAGCTCTGTGATAATGTCAAGTTGAAGGTCAGGGTCCATTCCAAAGCCTACCACTGCAAAGAAACAAAGAGACATTTCAGCTTAAAATACAAAATCATATTGGCAATATAGAAAACTACAGTCAAGTGTGAAGAGAATATAGATGCCTTCTGAGACAAGGACTTAACTACAATCACACTCCCAAAAGGAAAGAGAAAATCTTTGTCTCCTTATTGCTACTACCTTCTTTACTCTAGCTTTTTTAGATCAGCATCCCCCCTCTCCACCCCACCCATGCTAGAGACTCTGAGATAGACAAGAGAGCTCCTATGCTACCTCCACCATCAGGGATGTCCCCGGAGTGCTCCCAATTAATCAAAACCTAACTGCCTGTAACAAAGGGGATAAAGGAGGCTTTTGCCTGGAGAAAGAAGCAGAAATGGAACAGAATAATAATAATGACTGACATTTCTGTAGTGCTCTAAAGTTTGCAAAGCGATTTACGTGCATTATCTCACTTAAGCCTTACCACAACCCTGAGAGGAAGGGGCCAGGAATATTATTATCTCCATTTTCTAGATAAGGAAATCGAGGGACTTGCCCAAAATCCCACAGCAGTCAGTGTCAAAGGCAGGATTTCAACTGTCTTCCTGACTTTGTGTCTAGCACTGTACACCCAAGCTGCTTCTCTGGGAAGAAAAACAATTGGTATCTTCCTCATAAGCTTTCAGCTAGGATGTCTTCCAGAGACAAGCCTGAGTACGCACCCCACCCACTTGGACTGAGGGCACAGACCTGGGTACCTCACACTCATCTCGGAGGCCTAAGCTTTCCTTTCCTGGATGAGAAGAGGAAGTAACAAAGAACTTCCTGCTTGGAATCAGAGGTGGGGAGGGAGGGCACAAGGTGGAATAACTTGTTCCTGATTGCGAAGTGATTCCCAACTATCAAAGGAAAAAAGCGAAAGAAAATCCTAATAATGTCCCCGGCACATTCTATCCAGTTGACTATGCTAAATCATTCATTAAGCCTGGGTCTTCACTTAGCATCTCAATAGTGCAATTTTAGTTGCGCTGTTGGAGACGCGTTAATCAGCTACAGCTGTCAACTTTTGCCTAATGGTAGTGTGGGTGGAAGCTTTGTAAATCTCACATTGAATTTGTCCAGTAGAGACAGGAGATGAAGGTCACTTAAACGAGGTGAACTATGATTATCATATTTACTTACACATTTCCTCCTCTATCCTGAGCATCTGGAAAAAAAAGCATGCTAACAAAAACACTTGCTACCAAATAATCCCATTCTCCCTCCCTGCCCTAAATAATTGCTGCCAGTCAAGTTTTCTCTAAATAAACCTTTTTTTTGCAATGTTCAAATAAAGGGTTAAATTAAAGGCACAGCTGGCCATTGGCTGGCCTGGGAATAGGGAAAAGGATTTGAGTAATTACTCCTCTGCCCCCACCAAGCTGTTTCTAACTCACTTCCCTCCCAATCTCTGCTTGTCTTCTTCTTCTACTGGCCTGGGGGAGGGGGGGGTGCAGGGATTTCAGTCCCCAAATAGAGGGGCTGCAGCAGCTGTCAGGTTGATCTTTTCCAAGCACAATGAGTTAATCCCCATCCCCGGAAAGGAAAGAAAATCCTAAACCATTAAATTATTTGCAAATCATTGCCTTCAGTCTTCTGTCACAAATGCACATAGGCTTCCTTTATTTTAATTTTCTCTCTAAGAAAGGGAGAAATGTTGAAAAATCTAGATGCCAATTAAATTTGTTATTGATTGTTTTATAACCCTGGGTCAGTCACTTTATTCATGGGAGAGAACAGCAGAAATTTATCCCACATAGGAAATTTAGGAGATGTAGCTCTTTTTCCCAGTGCACTTCAGTTGAGTAACGGAGGTTACCAAGCGGTTATGGACTCTCTGAGCACACAGGTGAGTGACCTTCAGCTGAGTGAGGAAGGTGCAACTAGCATGCTTTCATCCCAAATACTGCTGTTGCATCTGAATTCCCTCTCCATGCTATGTCCCTAACCTTGTTCTGTATCAAGACCTCTTATTTGAACTCATTGCTCTCAGATTCAGGTCACCTTCTGCATAATGCCTAGCACATAGAATGTTCAGCACATAGTAGGCACTGACTGTCCTGCTTGAGCTCCTGGATTTGATCTCAGATCTACTACCCATTTTCTGGATTAGATTACTCATATCCCAAGAATGGGACACTGAGCTGGAACCACATCTCTTTTCCTCCTACTTCTAGGCTCTAGACCTACCTGTTAATTACCACTAATGCCCTGCAGGCTTATACAGAGCATCAGTGTGCCCATAAATGGGGGAGAGGGGCAGAGGTATGCAGGGAACATGTCTAAGTTTAATCTGCTCTATTAATACTTTCTCTATTACTTGAGTCTAGAAAAGAATAAAAAGTAAATTAAAAAAAATAAATAAATCAAGCCCCAGTTTGTAACCATTGCCAATTTAAGAGGTATAAATGTTCACATTGAAAACTTAACAATCAGTTCTCTCAGGCTGCTCTGAGCTGGCTCCAACACACCTCTGAGAGTACCCCCCTCCCACCCAATCCCCAACCTTTCCATACAGTCAGATCCCTAATTCCTTCTTCAACATTATCTTAGGTGAAAATATGACTAGGATGGGGGGGGAGATTCTGTGAGGAAATTGAAGGAGGGAGAGAAAATGATCTCAGGATTTCTCCAAAAACTTTTAAAGTAGTCAACTTTCTGCAATATTTTAATGTAATATTAATTGAATAAGAAGCCTTGTATAGCAAATAAAGGGTAAGCCTTGGTATATGGAAGCTCTGAGTTCAAGTCTTGCTTAGGATATGTGCTAGCTGTGCCCACATGCAAGGCACTTTATCACTTACCTTTCAGTGTTCCAGACAATTCTCTAAGACTGAAAGTGGCTCTGCATTGGTAGTGACTCTGCCCATGCTTAAAGTTCATTATACTGGTTGAATTCACAGGTCTAGACTACCCCCTCCCTCAAAAAATGGGTATGAAAAGTCTGGTCAGGTTAATAAGGTATCCATCCTAACCCATCTGGAAGATTCCATGATATACTTCAATAATTAATTGATCTACAGAGTCGTAAGTATAATCTGAGAAAGGACCTAAAACAGTCAAGACATAGATGAATAGGGGAAGAAATGCCAAAAATTTCTTTGTAAATTGGCCCTCTACTCTAAAAAGATTATAATGCTATTAACATATTTTTTCAACCCACGAAGGGAAAGAATAAAAACGGCAGAGGAAAATGCCCACTAGTGTTTTCAGCAAGAAAAGAATAATTAGCAAATTCATTAGTCAAGGTTCTGTTCATATGTCAGGACCTCTTTACCTCCATCCCTGCCACAGGGTTTGGATGAGTCAGAGAAGCACTGACCCTTTGCAGCCCATGTTGTCACTTCCAGAGAAAACTGAGGTGCCCAGCCAAGCCCACAATCTAGAGAATAGGATGAAGTTCTTTCCTAGACCATAGCAAGGATGCTGCTTTAAGTGAGCAAGAATTCCACTCAAAAGAAACAATTCAAGTCTATAAGTGTTTATTAGGAGACTACTATGGGCAAGGAGCTGAGGACTCACACAGTTGGTCCAACGCCAAGAAGTCCTACCTGAGTGTTCCTCGTGCCTTGCAAGAATGCATCCAACTTATAGCTTCAAATCAATGCTAATCAGCCCCAATGGCACAGGACTCCTGAGCCTACCAACTTACCCAGAGTGACCTGACATGTCCCATCAGGTTGTGTCTAGGGAATTCAAGGGGCAGTGAAATCAAGGTCAGAATCCAGGATTCTATTTTCACCTTGAGAATGTACGGTAAAGAATTCATATTACCATCTGATTTGTCCACTCCCTGCGCATGTATTCCAGGAATCAAACCAGAGGTGAACTTAAAGAATCTTTCAATCAATCTTTTTTATTTTCTGTGAAGAACCTTGGGAAACATGACCTTAGCTGAAAACAATAGATGTCTCTTCTCCAGATGGAATGGTTTTGTGAAAGCAAGCAAGCTGCACATTATCTTGTGTTTCTGGCAGCTAAAGCAGAGTTTCCAGAAACTCAAGACATGGTTGCTTTTTTTTTTCTTTCACTCCACTACCAATGTACAAAAAGCGTACACTCTATTCCGCCAAGGTTGATACCCTCAAGAAATGCCCAGATGCCCTCTGAAGAAATTCCACCATGAGGGGCAGCTAGGTGACACAGTAGATAGAGCTCTGGCCTTGGAGTCAAGAGGACCTGAGTTCAAATCCAGCCTCAGACACATGATATTTACTAGCTATGTGACCTTGGGCAAGTCACTTAACCTCAATTGCCTCACCAAAAAGCAAAAAAAACTCCACCATGTCTTTGTTTTAAGTGTGACATGGATACCCTTCCCACTATCCATCTTTACTTCCGTCTCTGAGGATTTCTGATTCAAAGATAACTGAATTGCTCTTTTCCCAAAAGTACTGTGTTTCTAGGCATATACCAACAAGGAGGTCAAAAATTAAAAACAAAGGACTCCAGAAAGGTTTCTAGGTGGCACGAAGGATAGAATGCTGGGCCTAGATTCAGGAAGACCAGCCTCAGACACTATCTGGGTGAGTCTGGGCAAGTCACTTAACCTTCCTTTGCCTCAGTTTCCTAAGCTGTAAAATGGAAATGATAATAGTACACCTGCTTTCCAGAGATTTTTGTGAGGGTCAAATTTGATGATAATTGTAAAGTGCTTGGCACAGTGCTTGTTTCTTTCCTTCTTTCCATATGCCAACATAGTCATAGCAGTCCTTGGGTAGCAAAGAAATGGAAACAAAATCCAGACCTGTGAATGCAATGGTATAGAGAACTCTGGGTGTAGAGTCACTTATTGTCTTAGAGAACTGACTGGTGATTAATCACTTAATCACTAAGAGGTGAGTGAGTTGCCCGTGGTCACAGAGTCTATCCACTAGGAAATAAACACTTGGTTTATGGTATGTGAATGTAACAGACTATTGTTGTGGTATAAGAAACGGTGAATATTAGCAATTCAGAGAAGCATAAGAAGATTTGTATAAACTGATGC